CACACACACACACACACACACACGCATACAAACAAGCGCGAGTGCACACACACTCACACAAACACACACACACACACACACACACACACACTCACACACACACACACACACACACGTATTTCAACACTCATACATGCACATATGCACACTGAAACAAGCACGCACACATTCATTCCTTTTCACTTTCTCCCAACACAAGCAGGCACGTCATTGAAGCAGATCGCAATCAAAAGCAATCAGCTAATGCAGCCTTCTAAGAACCAAAAGACGAAGAAGACGTCAGCTGAGTAATCTATCAAACCTGCTGTGTAATTCTAAGACTCGGGGAACCCTATGCACGGGAAATCAATCGAAGACAGGAGTTCTAAATTAACCTGGAAAAAAATCTGTCAAGGGAAGTTTTTCAGAATGTTATAAAGAAACCATTTGATTCGACGAGGCCGATTGTCATGCCATACACAAAAATACGTTCTTGGCGAGCGCAAAAAGCATGGCAGCGCTTCCAGCTTTGATACACTACGGAATGAAATAAAGAAAGAAAAACAAGCTAAGAAAAGATCGACAATCGGCAAAACAGAAAACAAAAAGCCATAGCATTCTACCAAAAAATATACAAACAAAACAAAACAAAACAAGACGAAGAAAACAAAACAAAAACAAACAATATTAACGTCCAATCCACCCACGAAAAAGCAAAAAATACACACCCGCAACACTCCATTGACATCTCGCTTTTGATAATATACTCCCCTCCCGCCCCCAACACAAACGCACCCCCCCCCCCCCCCCCCCCCCCTCTGAGGCAGTGGTTTACAAAAAACTCCCAAATACCTCATTGCTCATAATAATAAAGTTGTTCTTGAATTTGGACTTTGGACTCAACAAAGATGTTCTCTTCATATAACATTTTACCAAGAGTGGCTTCTCATTAGATTGGTTCCTGTTCTTTGGCCAATTCTCTTCCATTCACAATATGAATCGTAGTATTCTATGGCTTTTTATTATGTTAATAATCCTCTTTTGGAATGGGGATTTGGGGGGAAGGTGAATATTTAACAGCTCGTTAAAAAAATTAACGGTTTTCAGAATACAGTGTGGTTGACCAGGTCCATGTTTTACTCTGTTGCTGAACTGTCGAATTGGAATGCGAGATTACACTATGTGAGTAACAGAATATCTCTGGCATGACCGTTTTCTTATATTGCAATTACCCAATTACAAGCGCGCGCGCAC